TGTCGATTTGGTTACTTAAGTCGGATTGCATAGATAATAAAACTTTTTCTTCTTTATCTTCGTACCTCGAATATACTTAGACGTCGACTTGCAAGCATTTGTAAGGATCTATTAGATCCTTTTCCTCGTACAGATCTATTCGATCTATATCGATCAGTTCTCGTGTCCAATACAGAATAATTGGGCATTATTCTTCTCAAAGAAATTATTTAAATTCAAGAAACTCTACAATATTGTCAAGCTATAATTTCCAAATAATCAGGGTGTCTACCAATGTTCTCGTCATAAACGACAGCTTCCTGTACCCACCACTAGGCGGCTACGCATCGAAACTTAAATTCCCACTAACCTTCCTTCCACTACGAATATATCTTTCGATTTGAAATATACTTTTTCTAAATCCAAGTCGGGAAATCAATTTAACATCATCACAGACACGTCCCAACTCAAAATCACCCTATCTCTTAAAAACAATTCCCGACATAACCTCAAAGGTGTCTTTAACGCTGAATCGCTCACGATCAAATATCGAGAGACCCAAAAGGAAGAAAAATTTTCAAAAAATGCATCGAGATAACAAAACATCGCAGAATATCGATTACGCGTGCATATTATATACTATATTTCAAATATTATACCGTATATGTCAAAAACAACCGTAACGAGTTATCGTCAACGGGATGACGCGGAACAGAGAATTTTGAAAGTTTAAAAAGGGTCATATAAGCTAAGTTTATCGGTGAAATCCAGTATCCGCCGATACCCGTGTGTATCCACCCTTCGTTCCACCCCGTTTCACCCCGTGGATGGCGCGCTCCATTAATCTGACAACGGACGGCTTCATTCTCGGCGACGGTGAATTAAACGTCTCGCGAAAATTCATTATCGCCGTGGAATGGCGGCAAATACGGCGAATCAGCCGGCCGCCGGAATCGATGCTAATGGAATTATCCGCGCAGCTGGGCTAACTCGATTCGCCGTCCGTTTTCGCCTGGTAATCGCGTTAATATCGGCCCCGGAGACAGAAAGGCTGACCTCGGCCTCTCTGCCGACTTCGTTAAACGGCACACGTTTTCACCTTTTCGCGAGACGCGTCCGCCGGTTCGTTAAGAGGAAAAAGGAGGCTTTCCCAGGTCTCATCGTGCCTGCTGTTCGCGCATCAATCGAATTATGGCCCTATGCAAACTGTTGCGACTTCCGGCGACGATACTTGGCTAGTTTCGGCAGTTCCAAGGGTCCACGGGAGTTGTTGAATGACAATCGAAGCTCGCACCACGGCTAATTAGCAATTGCTCGAGGGTCCACCTCCGTTTGCAAGCTTCGCGTGGAACTTCGCCATTTTTGGGACTCAGACGAGCGAATTACGCGGAGGAAATCGATTAATGCTCTCTGTTAGGAGAACGTAAAGTTTAGGTATGAAATGATATTATTTTCGTAATAATAATGATACTTTTGTCACAATACTACGTTAAATGTCGAAAATTTCACTATTATTGCACTCTGGAAGGGATAATAAATTATTCCTCACGTCTAAAGCGACATTATTGTAATCCTGCTAAGAAAAATCGACTTCTTTGGGATTTTTTTTAAAGGAAACTATGATACATTTTAATATGCAGTTTTTGGATTTAGATTTATTTATACTTGAAGAATATTCCCAATTTTTGTTCAACGAAATTATTGAAAACTGTGGAAATTATATATAGCCTTAGGTAAAGCGTGTTTTTAAAAACTGGGTCGAATGATTTACACGATTCTGGATCATCTGATTAACTGAAACGAAAAAACTAGAATGCATCTTAATTAGTATACACACGGGCATAGCACGAACTATAGAGACAGCGAAATTTAGAAAAATTTAAAAAATGGCGGCATTTTGAAATTTAAATATCGATTTTGCTTGTGCTTCTCGTCCCGTGGATGGTAAAGAAATAAATAACAAAATAATTGTACGAACAATTGTTCAAATGATTTCAATTAAATAATTGTTTAATAGAAATAAATTAGTATATCTATTTTTAAACATATCAAGAATTAAATAAATAGTGAAAACAATAATTATTGTTACAAATGTTAAAATAAAATTATATAGATAAATTAAATTATCCGATTAAAAACAAATTTGAATTTTGAAAGTAATACATATTTCATATTAAAATTTCTAATACTAGAAATAAATTCTATATTCTCGAATTTTAAATTCATTACACATTTCTGCCATATTGAAAATTTTTTCCTTCTATTATTAAAATTCTACATCCACTAAATGAACGATTTAAAGGTAAATAATTTTTCTGTGAGGCTCCTGATAAAGAAATTGGACGAAACATAAATGTCACGGTCATTTCATCATCGTCATTGTCAATTTTCGCGTATGTTCTTCCCAGTAATGTGTTATTCTTAGTCTTGTTCAGACGAGATTGCTCGACTCATGATCGACGCTGCTGTTGACTATGGCACGTGCCACCCTAACCCCAATGCTAAGCAAATCGATAATTTCTTTTTTTACTGGTAGAGTGATAGCAAAGATCCCAAGATTACCTCTTTTTAATCGATATCCAGTGACCCGTAGTTAGACTGAAACCCACGCAAACCCCACGAGCCAACTGCGGGGTTTGCGTTATCCCAACTGAGATAATGGTTCCGCTAAAAGCCAGATAAATGAATCGAAACTCGCCCTATCTATCTCCTCCACCTGCCCCACGCACGAGAGAAGAGTAATTTCTCTAAAAACCACGGCCGTTCCCTCTCGCAACGTCTAATAACACCGTCAATCACGCACCACCTTGCTCACCCCTGTCTCGCCGTTTTCGCCTCCTTAACTCGGGGTTAATTCGCAATTAAACGCTTGACACTCGCGAAATAGCGACGCGAGCCGCGTAAATTAATTGCCAGCTGAGAACGGTGGCCTCGATCGAAGGGTTCAACGATAACGTCTGATAAGAGAAACTGTTATCCACCTGTGACAGGTACGTAGCTAGCACCCGACGTGCCGGCTGCCGTGGAAGGGCCCAGGGGCGGAAGGGGTGTAGGAATCGAAGAGGAAGTCGACACGAGGATACGCGTAATTTTCGCTAATGATCGTATTGGCAATTAGTTAAGGCCTTTCTATAAATCTCTCCTAACTAATTACCCTTTACACTCCCAACCCTGGAAGAAGACCACACGGGCCGCGGTTCGAGCCGCGCTCGCAGTTAAACGCTAATTATTATCCTCGTACGCGATAAATTAAACTGCCAGACGCCATGGGTACCGTCCAGAGAAGTACCTTTCGCGTACCTATGGAGAGCCATGGACCGCGTTACGGGGGGACACCGAACACATATTCGCCAGGCCGCCCTTAGCAAATTCAATTTACGCTATTGCGCGCGCCTCTGCTCGCCACGGGACACCGGATACGGAATATTCCTCTATGTCTCTATTCAGACCGTGGTGCAAGATGTTCCCAGGGATTTTCCAGGGTTTCGTTGAAATTTCTCGCGGAGGGTCTCTAAAATGATTTCAGCCTCGTTGTATTCGGATGCGTGATTTGTTGGATATGCTGGTGCAGGGATGTTTAAATAGTTCTGTAACTCGTTGACTGTCACGTCGAAATCACATGTTTCGTTCAGGACGCTATGAGAGTATTTTTATTATTTATAAAAATAATAATAAATTGGTAATATATGACAATATTCTTACCCAATGAAGCGATTATATTATTGGCGGTCATGGGTGACTATCGTGGACTTGGTAACAGTTGACAATTGACAACTGTCAATTTTCATTTAATTTTTAGAATTTTAAGTAGTTCAAGCGCTCTGGTCGTCAGTGACCATCGTGGCGACACAGGAGAAACCATGACAGTCAAAATGTTAACACTAAAAGTACCAAGCAGGTGTCAAATAACCCCTTTCAAAATTTACTTTACAAATGGTATATTTATTGTTATTTCTTTCGCTCATATGACTTTCTGTAAATTCTTATGTTATCTGATTATTTGATTTCTCGCTTTCCATTTTTCTCTTAACTTACTTTTTGCATTATATGCAAGGAGCGGCCATTTGACACCTTATAGTAAGAGTAGTTGTATGAAAAATATTAATTTGTTTAATATTAAGCGAGGCATTGCGAATAATTGTTTGGTTTGGGGCATTGTTCTAGGGACTTTGGAGAATTTATTAGTTGGTTCCCTAAAATTTATTTTGTAATATTACGCCTGGCAATTGTTTTATTACCTATGACAGTATGTTGACTCGTGTTTTATTTTAGCATCGTGTATCGTTCTAAAAATCATAGAGCAGTTCTCGGAAATTTATGATACATTTTGAAGCAAACTGTTTAATTTTGCCATATATCGTATGCCATATGTATCTAAGTTGGAACTCGGTTGGGATATTCTACCCCATTCACCATATTCACTAGACCTCGCACCCTCTGATATCCACCTATTTCGATCATTACAAAATTCCCCTAATGGAGGAAACTTTAAGATAAAAAATCACGTAGAAAAATTTTTCGCTGAAAAATTTGAGAAATTTCCAAGCTTCCTAAAAGATGGAGAAAGATTGTAAAACACAATGACACCCATATAACTTAATAACTTAATAAATATATACTAAAATTTAAATCTACCGCGTTTCGATTTTTCTCCAAAATCGGCACGAACTTTGCAAGAAAAATTAATAATTAATAAAATTTGATACAGCGAAAATGGGAAAAATAAAATTGTACTTTTTATTGCAACACAATGTCGTAAAAATATAAATTAGTACCATAGGAAGTTTGGAAATAATGTCAATAAATAGTCACACTCGATATCAAAGAATGCCTCGCAGGATTGCGATCTACCCACGCGTTTCATTAAATCAGAAATTCTCGAATCGAACCGGAGATCAAACGAACCTACGAAATACCAAGGTTCTCCCCGCGATGCTGAAACTATAGCCATTAGCAAGTACCTTTTAAAACGCTTACCGCTCGTGTCGCTAACGGTCCTATCCTTCCGTTTGTTGTTTCAGATTCCCAAATGGAGCAAGGGTACCGGTCCGAGGTCCAAGAAAGGGCACTGGTCGTATCCTTGCAGATGTTCAATCTGATTTTAGAACGTGGCGTGTCCTTGCTCAAGTCTCAGTTGGACAGCGGCGAGGAGCCGAGGATGGTTGTTAGCGAGGACATGCAAGTCCTTTTACCAGCTATCAAGGTATTTCCGTTATCTCTGGCATATCTAATGGGCCTCTATCAAGATCTCTTTTTCCTAGAAACTTTCACCCTACCGGGAAAAACCGCGCGTCATTCTAATTGCACGGATTTTAATCGGCGTGGAGAATCTAGGAAAAAAGGAGAAAGAGAGGAAAGGGAGAGAAAGAGACTCGAAACGTCACGCGTGTTCCATCGAGGCACGTTGGTTATCTCGATATTTAGATCTTTTTATTTCCCCCCTTGCCAGTGTTTTCTGCAAATATAGCATGTAATGTATGCAGCCGAGGATTCCTCGCCGCGTTATCCCGTGCATCGATCATCGATCGATGGACGAAGGGGGTCCCGACTCGAGAAAGTCCCTGCCTCCGTCGAGGATGATGAACAATCGTCGTTATGAGTCAACTCCGATTGTCTTTTCACAGACGGGCTAAAAATAACGCGGAGAATTACTCGGTGGTCAATCGACAGTGATGTTGCAAATTGATTTTTGATTAATCGTTTTAGCCGGATAAACGATGTAGCGAGCGCAGAGGAAATCGGTGTTAGGGAATGTGCAAGCTGGTGATGTATGCGCAGTGAATCCAGCTGGAGACGTGGCTTAGTCAGCTCACGTGCGGGTAAATCACGAAATGTTTCTTCCTTTTTCATCCGACAACTAGAGACATCAGCGAGAAGTATAAATAATTTTTTCACGGAACAAAAGGATCTTGGAGTAGCTAACAGGATATGTCCTTTGCTTCTATAGGTTTCATAATTCTCCCTGTTTTCTCAAATTTTTATAAACTACTAAACGGCGAGCTTTCGATACGCTTTCTTGTACAATTTCGTTTCTAAAATCTCAATTTTAGTTGGTTCCTTTTGTGGTATTGGTGGTTGGCAGCGCGTTTGCTACGGTAAGATAGTGGATCAAGGGGATGTTTAGGCTAGACTAGCAGTAGTGGGAGTAGAATGAACGAGTTCTTGGAATGCATGTGGAATTTTTGAGCAAAGGGATGTCAAAGGATTAGCTAAAGAGTGTCATAAGAGAGTTGCTATTGAGAGTTTTGTCGAGGGAATTTCTAAAGTTTGGCAGTATGCAGTACGACTGTATGATGTGCATAGGTATAAAAAGGGATGACAAGAGATTAGTCAAAGATTGTCATAAGAGAGTTACTATTGAAAGTTCTGTCAAGTGAATTTCTGGACACTTGGCAGTGTATAGTACCAGTATGTGATGTGCATAGGTATAAAAAGGGATGCCAAGGGATAAGTCGAAGATTGTCATGAAAGAGTAGCTATAGAGAGTTCTGTCAAGTGAATTTCTGGACACTTGGCAGGGTGTAATACAAGTGTGTCATGTGCATAGACACGGAAGGAGATGCCAAGGGATTAGTCAACGAGTGTCATAAAAGAGTTGCTATTGAGAGTTCTGTCAAGTAAATTTCTGGACACTTGGCAGTGTGTAGTATTAGAGTCTCATGTGCATAGGTATAAAGAAGAATGTCAAGGAATTAGATCAAGAGAATTACATAAGAGAGTGTCATGAGTTGTATTATATCTATTGGGATTGGACGGTGGCAATACTTATCGATAAATTAACAGTGATATAAAAATTCGCGAGTGACAATAAAGATGCGAATTATTCCTCGACTTATGACAACGCTCAACGATATTACGACATTACAACTCTGCTCATCTTCACAACTCAACGACAACTCGAATAATAACTGTCCTTCGACCGTTCCTCGCCTATTTCATATTTCTTTCCCGCCATATGCACACCATTTTCAAAATTTCCCTTAGCAGGACCGAATATCGTGTCATGTTAAGGGCCTGACGCATCGCTCAGGCCCAGGGTTTTCTCGATTGACCTAGGCCTCGCCATCTCGGCTACCTCCGTAAGTCTACGTATACATAGTGGAAAATATGCGACACTACATATCTGATATATAATAAATATTATTAAGAAAAATGGGAAAGCTCCATCCACGTTGCACACCCATCGCTACACTTTGCACGTCACACCGCAGTTGGATAACTCGACTCTCGATCTCGGCGACAACCTCAACGACCCAACTCCACCCACGACGATCTAAAAACAGCCCCTCGTCACATAGAAACTACACTGAACATCCACCAGGGCCACCGCGATTCATTACCGGTTTTTAATCGGCACACTGACCGCGTCTAGGCCCCGTGTTCCCCCAGCTTCCGTACGCACGTGTACGAATTTTTCGTGGAACGCCACCCGATCGTGGGCTTGTCGACGTTCTTGTCATCGCCATAATCCCAGCCCGAGAACGTATGCGCGCGCACGTGCGAGAGAGAAGACCTAAGCGGTCGAGGATTTATGAAGCAACGGTTGGTTCGCACCCACGCGAGGTCCGCCGGTGGCCGTTGTCAGGCCCAGGACCTGGTTCGTTCGTGTCCCGACTTATTATGCAACCCAGCGTTCGCGATTAATGCACCTATCGCACGTAAGCTATGCACGCACGCTCCATCGATAAAGGTCAGCCGTATGACAAGTCATTGGAACCGCGGCTTCGCCAGTTTCTTCCTGGTTCTCTCGAGCTGGTGCAGCCTTCAAGGATGCGTTCTGCCGAGGATGCGATACCATCGTAGCGGGATCCCTGGTGTTAGGGTGTCTCTGATTAAGAGACACTCGGGTGGACGTTGTTGGGGTAACTTGGTTTATTCGAGGATTTTTTCCCTGCTTTTTGCCGGAGATGTTGCAAAACGGAGTTGGCTCACTTATCACCGCGTCAAGTGTTGGCTGCTGTTGTATTTATCATTTCAACTTTGTATCGTGGAAGTAGAGATGTACAGCATTCTTTATTATGAGTTAATTTTTGTGGCCGCCATGTTTGTTGCAGAGCGTTGGTCAAGATGTTTATCGTAGTTTCAAATGATTTATGAAGTGAAGAGTATGGGGGTTGTCTTTGGAATAGGGAGGTGTTGGAAGATCTTGCTCAGAGGACGTGGAAGGATTTATTTTTCGAGGATCGTTGTGGAATTACCAGTACCAGGATGTGATTATTCTCCTGTCAATTTTATTGCAGCAGTTATGCAACCAAATAGTTTAGATATTTCAGCCGAGTGGGTAGGTGAGACTCCGGTTGCTAAAGTAATCGCATAATTGAGAGTGAATCTGCTTCTAAAGAATTCCGATCGTTATCGAAACGCAGAAATAATGACAACGGTTTCGCTCTTGTCTCGGGGAAGACCATTAATATTGTCGATAAAGTAGACGCGATACACGACTGCTGGCATACGATTCACTTTCTGGAGGATGGATGAACGCGATGGATGGAGTAAAATGTCTCCGTTCTATAAATAAAAACAGTTTCTCGCATTCCGAGATAGCCATCTTACAACGTCGATTCCTTTTTGTTGCAGATCTGGTGCGATTGGATGCTTTGTCACAGCACCGTCTGGAATCCGCCGCCATCTTGCACGGATTACAGAGTTGGGTAAGTCTCTCACTCGATTTATTTTAATGCAATTCAATCATTTCACTCGTAATTCAAATTAACCACTTGCGCTGGAAAGACGTGCCACGCACGTCGTAATGCCTTTGTCGCAGAATCGCCCACGACGTGGTATGCACGTCATCAGGCAATTGTCACAGAAACACAGGATCATTCTGGCACACGCGTCTGTGAATTTCTTGCCAGTGCAAATGGTTAAAAGGAATTATTTCCCCGTATTTCGGCTCTTTCTCAAATTCAGACATAGGGGAAACAAAAAGTCACTAAATCATAGTATGTTAGGTTCTACATATAACTATAAATACTCCATTCTGTATAATTCTCTACCCTATACCCTCGTATTGGCAAGAAACTCGTCAAAAAATTCGCAATCTCATGAAAGTTGATAAAATTCGATTTTCACTAGATTCCTTCTAGTAACTTAATTTAACTAGGTTCTTACAGTCGTTAGTATCGGTATATCGTCTATTACGAGTCCTCTATTCGCCAACATCCTCGCGAATTAACTATTCAAACGCTTCTAAACTCGCGCGCAACTTGTTGGCTACTCAAACGGCAATTACAAAATTCCCCAATCCAGCGAACGCGCAGTAGCCCAACTCTAGTACCGGATTAAAAGATTAATTCCTCGAACGAGCCATCCCCGAAAAGCCGCAGCCTCGGCCGTTTACGACCAAAAGTTATACATAATATCAGAAGTTGCCGGCGTTTCAGCCGGTTTTCGTCGCTTAAGCGGCAGCAATTCCCGCGCGCGGCCATTCGAAACTTTCTAGTTACCGCGGCGCGGCGAGCAGACTGACCATTAAACGTCAGCGGGGGAAACAAATTTCCCTAGACACAGCCTGGGTGTATTAGGATCAGTCGCTTTGCAGAAAGAACGCGAGGTATATCTCGAACTCGCTGATCCTGCGGTTTCGCGGTTTTGTGGTCTGAGGTAATAGATTTTGAATAGACCAATTCTCTGGAAAGAGAAAGAGAGAGAGAGTTCAGTCGGTAAGTGAGCGATGCATACTCTCGCCAGCAGATCACGCCACGGCCACAAATTATTCATTGCTAGAGGTTATATTTATTTATCTCTTCTTCTTTTTTCATTTATTTATTTTTTATTGTTGGTAAGCTTGGCGCGATTGGAGCGAACTGGAGGGAAGTCATGTTTGGTGACTAATTTATTTTCGCGGTCGATTACTCGCTGGTGCGTCGATTCAACGTAACCATTGTGATTACGTTCAATATTATTATTATTTTGATTATTTAATTTAACAATTTCTGAGAAATTTCAAGCATAATTTCGCGACCATGCGGCATATTATTATCGTTATTCTGACAAAAGAGTCTACGTTAAATTCAACCATCTCTGATCCCAATATCGAAACAAATTTTAGTCACGAGAACTGATAAAATTGACGGAGAACGCGATAGGAAGAAGATTTCTACGTGCACAGTTACACTTTCTGTACTCGCGAATATAGTTATCCGTGGAAGTATCCTTTGCCTGTCAAACGCAGCTTCTAATGAAAACGTCCAACCGAAAGCCTCGACGCGGTGTCTTGTTCGTTGAGCCGGTGATGGCTCCTCTCAGACAGAGACGGGACCACCATTAGTTACGTTCAACCACCGGCCACGCAACGGAAGATCAAGCATCCCAGAAGACAAGACCCCCGCGAGGATAAGTTCGTTCGAACAATTAAGCGGTTTTCAGCGAAATTTCGCGTGCTGACGGTCGCGATAAATCACGAGCACACGCCACTATGGTGGTTCGTTCGTCGCGCGTGATGTCTCTAGCATCCCGAACTTCCTCCCGTCTGAGAAATTGATGCCCCGCGAAGAGAATTAATAGTCCAACACAACAGTCATAATTCAAAACACCTGAAGTGTCAACATGAATTAATAGTCGCGCGCCACGGCCACGAATATCTCACTGTTTCTCCATTCCTCTCTTTCGTCCACGATGGAGCTTCGGTGATTAATCGGTTTGACAAAAGCCCTGCACGGAGACGACGTCGCATTAGACGCGACTCGCGCATAATTGCGCGAGAAAGACAAAGCACTCGCGAGAGGATCGAGGATCTAGTTCGATAGAAGATGCTATCTAGAGCTGAGGAATTTGTACAATATTCGAGCTAACATAGTCTATAACACGGATTAATCCCTTAGTATATAGAACTTTTCTTCAGTGTCAAATATCCCTGCTAGGCTTGCAGCGTCCAAAGTTCGGACTCTCACCGCTAGATGGATACTGGAGGTTCGAGGTTTCTCGCAAGTCTTCGGAGAATTCTCGATTCTCATAAATACAAGTATCTATCTAGCCTAACTATCCTTGTTTAAGTCAGGGTCTGCTAGAAAGCCTTGTACTTGGGCTGACATGGTCTAAAACACGGATTAATCCGTTAGTATATTGAACTTTTCTTCAGTGTCAAATATCCCTGTTAGGTTTTGCAGCGTCCAAAGTTCAGACTCTCACCGCTAGATGGATACTGGAGGTTCGAGGTTTCTCGCAAGTCCTCAGTGAATTATCGATTCTCATAAATACAAGTATCTATCTAGCCTAAATATCCTTTGTTTAAGTCAGGGTCTGCTAAAAAGCCTTGTACTTGGGCTGACATGGTCTAAAACACGGAATAATTCTTTAGTATAATCCTTTGATCTTTTCTTCAATGTCAAATATCTCTGTTAGACTCCTGTTCTTCTTGGTTCAGCAATATTTCGTTATATATTTGGTCACATATTATATACATATATTTTACGTATGCATTATCCTTCAGAAAGGTATGAAAAATTATCACAAACTCTCGTTCTCTCTCTCAATCCTCGTTTCTCTGTTTTCACGAGCATCAGTTCATGAGCGTCCCGTCTAGATGGCTCTGTTGTAGTCTGAAGACGGACAGTGCTGCCACCACCTCTGGTAAGTTCGTTTCGATTTTGAAGGAAAATTGAAACGCGGGAGATTGGAATTTTAATAAATATGCCTGAAATACCATCTTTTAGTATATATTCGCTTGTCATTTGTTTTTAATCGTTCTGATATATTCAATCAGACCTGTCTTTATGCCATCTACCAAAAATCGGCACGATCTTTCCAAAAGACCCAATACAACAGCCATTGTGCTCGTATTACGAATAAATCACACACAACAAAGCAATCGAATCCAAGTCCCATTGGGCCGATCCCAATCCGTAGATCACTCGCGCCACAAAACGAGTATCCTCACTTTCCACGTTCACGTAATATACATTACACACGTATCACGAAGCTTTCGGCAAGCTGCCGTGGAACACGAACTACGTACACGCGATAAAACCTGGAATTGGACTCTTATTGGGCGAAGCCCGATCCCTAGATCACGCTCGGGTCCCAAGGGGAAGAACGCGGCACAGAGATCGGCAGCTTCCATCGAAGTCTGCTTCCAGCGAACCTGTTCCGTTCTCGAAACGTCGAGCGTGGGAGTGACTCATCGAAATAAAAGCACGCCGATGCAATGCAAAACACGGCCAGGTTCGAGGAAAGGCCGATCAACGTGTAATTATCTTCTTGCGTCCCTCCTCTCGATGATTGACAAAGGAGCCATGCCACGGAGTCGCCGCAGAGGATCGACTCCGTCGTTAGCGATCCGCTTGGAAACGGAGAAACGAGGGTCTCGTCAGCTTTGCACGTAGGCCGATAACGTGACGTCGAAACGAGTCACGGAAGTCCTGGCTCGTTTAGTACGACGGAAACGATATGAGGAGACTTGGCCTCGGCGGATGAATTAGGTTCTTGAAAGGCTCACGATGATCTGTACACCTGGGACACGTAGGTTTTTAGAGTTTCGAGCTATTTTTCTTTTCAGTATTTCATCGATTACCTTGTAATCATCTACATGCTTCGAAGTGGAAAGACATTGGTCTTATGGTGAAAGAGGATTCGATTTTGAGGGAAGAAAGATACAGGAAAACTTACACAAGAGTATCACACAGTGTGCCAGCTCGGATGCTTATTCGAATTGCGTTGTAAACGAGATGAATATTACAGAGATTGATGACAGATTATAGGGAGGTAATGTTTATTGGTGACGATAATATAATAATTTGAGAGTGACAAGCAAGTTACGAACTACTTCTCAGTTTACTGAAACACTTAACGCGGTATTACAATATTACAACTGTGTTTGACATCGACTCTTGACTTTACAACTCAAGTCAACGATTGTCTTCGACTTCAACTCGGTATTAACCCTTTCACTGCCACACCAAAATCACGCGTTTTGCTCAGGATGGCACGGGATTTTTATTATTCGAAGCATATAATGTCAAAATAATACTAAATTGGCGATATAAGACAGTATTCTTACCCAATGGAGCGTTTATCTTATTGGCAGTCAAGGATGACGACCGTGACAACTTGGTAATGTTTGACAGTTGGCTGACTGTCAATTTTCATTCAATTTTTACAATTGTAAATAGTTCAAGCGCTCCAGTTACCAATGATCACCGTGGTGTCAAAGGAGAAACCGTGGCCGATCATATATGACCAACATGACAGTCAAAGTGTTGACACATTGCGCTCAGGGCCCGTACATTTTTGAGCTCTCCAAAAGCACGCATAGCAAACGATTTATGTACATTTTGTGAACGATAACGATTTGTTTCTTCATTAAATAATTTTGAAAAATTCATTGCCAAATATATAATTGACAGTTTCCTTCGTATTGCAACGGGAACATCTATCTTTGCTTTCTTAATACATTACATACCGCATAGAAATCTGTAAGACATACACCAGGGACCGCACATTTTGACATGACAGTGTGTTGACATCTATGGTTCATAACAGGTGGCGCGCGAAAAACGAGAAAACTCGTGACCTGTACGCAATGTGTTACCTGTCCTCTAATTGGTCTTGGCTTACTTTATGTTTCCTTACCCTCATGTACACGTTTTCCGATGTTTCATGACCAAATATGGTCGCGCTAAGGGCCTGGCGCGTCACTCAAGGTTTTCCCGGC